TTTAAATGTATCTTACCTGAGAATCTCCAGTTCACAGTCTGGACTCATCAGTCCACTGCACAGCAGCTTCACTCCTGAATCTTTCAGGTCGTTGTTACTCAGGTCCAGATCTCTGAGACTAGATGTTGTTGAGCTGAGCAACGAGGACAGAGCTTCACAGCTTCTCTCTGAGAGGTTACACCCACTCAGTCTGAGAGGACGGAAGGAGTACAAGGTAATTATGTCATTATTATTATTATTATTATTATTATTATTAGGCATTTTTATAAAACCAACTACATCTGTACTTACATAGCTTTGCTAATGATTTTGATGATTGGCAGCAGCCTCAGTAGAGCATCTTCTGAAGCAGAGTATTTCTTCAGGTCAAACATCTCCAGACCTTCATCTGATGAAAGTAGCATGAAGTGCAGAGCTGACCACTGAGCAGGAGACAGCTGGTGAGCTGAAAGACTTCCTGTTTGTAGAGATTGTTGGATTTCCTCCACCAGAGACTGATCATTTAGTTCATTCAGGCAGTGGAACAGATTGATGCTTTTCTCAACACATAGATGATTATTTATATTTTCCTTGATGTACTGGGCTGTGTCTTTATTAGCCATTAAATTTTCTTCTTTCTGTCTCACAAGGCCTCTTAAGCGACACTTATTGGTCTCCAGTGAAAGACCAAGTAGGAAGCGGAGGAACAAGTCCAGGTGTCCATCTGGACTCTCTAGGGCCATGTCCACAGCACTCTGGTACATTTCTATCTCTGAGGATCCATGGCTTCTTGTTTCGAAGTCCTTGGATTTTGTTTCACCTTTTGCCAGCAGATTGACTCCAGATTTGATGAAGGTCAGGTGAACATGAAGAGCAGCCAGAAACTCCTGAACACTCAGGTGGACGAAGCAGAACACCTTGTCCTGGTACAGCCCTCTCTCCTCTCTAAAGATCTGTGTGAACACTCCTGAGTACACTGAGGCTGCTCTGATATCGATGCCACACTCTGCCAGGTCTGATTCATAGAAGATCAGGTTTCTTTTCATCAGCTGATCAAAAGCCAGTTTTCCCAGAGACTCGATCATCTTCCTGCTCTCTGGACTCCAGATTGAACCTGTCTCAGCTCCTCCATCGTACTTGATGACCTTCAGTTTGGTCTGAAACACCAGGAAGTGGATGTACATCTCAGTCAGGGTCTTTGGCAGATCTTCTCCATCTTTCTTGTTCAACATGTCTTCCACAACTGTAGCAGTGATCCAGCAGAAGATTGGGATGTGGCACATGATGTGGAGGCTTCTGGATTTCTTTATGTGGGAGATTACCATTCTGGCCTGCTCCTTAGATTTAAACCTTTTAGTGAAGTACTCGTCTTTCTGTGGGTCAGTGAATCCTCTGATCTCTGTCATCATGCCAACAAACTCAGCAGGGATCCGATTGGCTGCTGCAGGTCTTGTGGTTATCCAGAGGTGAGCTTTGGGAAGCAGGTTCCCTCTGATGAGGTTTGTCAGAAGAACATCCACTGAGGTGGACTTTGTTACATCTGTCAGGATCTCATTGTTGTGGAAGTCCAGTGGAAGTCGACTCTCATCCAAGCCATCAAAGATGAACACAACCTTTAACTCTTCAAACCTGGAGATTCCTTTGGTTTCACTAAAAAAGTGGTGAACAAGCTCCACCAAGCTGAACTGTTCATCTTTTAACAGATTCAGTTCTCTGAATGTGAATGGAAACATGAACTGGATGTCCTGGTTGGTTTGGTCTTCTGCCCAGTCCAGAGTGAACTTCTGAGTCAGGACTGTTTTCCCAATGCCAGCCACTCCCTTTGTCATCACTGTTCTGATTGGTTCATCTCTTCCAGGTGAGGGTTTAAATATGTCTTCATGTCTAATTGCTGTTTCTGGTCTGTCTGGTTTCCAGGTCACTGATTCAATCTGTCTGACCTCATGTTCATTATTGACTTCTCCAGATTCTCCCTCTGCAATATAGAGCTCTGTGTAGATCTGATTCAGAAAGGTTTGATTTCCTGATTTTGCAATTCCTTCAAACACATGCTGGAACCTCTTCTTCATGTTAGACTTTAGTGTTTGTTGGCATGTGATGAGTGATTCTATGAAACAAAAATAGAAAAAAAATTAATTTAAGAGTGATTTTGTCATGTTTCTGTGGGGGACTGAAACACAAAGAGCAAGTGGAAATGAGTTTTGAAGTTTTAATACGAAAGTAAAAAGCAACTTACATTTCATCAGAGGCTATATAAACTATATTGCCAAAAATATTTGCCCGCCCATCCAAATTATTTGAGTCAGGTGTTCTGATCACTTCCATGATCCAGGTGTATAAAATGAAGCACCTATACATGCAGACCGTTTTACAAACATTTGTGAATGAATAAGTCGCTCTCAAGATCTCAGGTAATTCCACCATTGAACTGTGATAGGATGCCACAAATCGAGTCATGAAATTTTCTTGCTCTTAAATATTCCACACTCAACTGTCAGAAAACTAAGAAAATGTGCAATGTGCTGCAAGAAAATGGAAGTGCTTAGGAACGACAGCAACTCAGCCACAAAGTGGTAGGCCATGTAAATTAACGGTGTCGGGTCAGTGGATGCTGAAGCAAATGGCATGAAGTCGCCAAGAAGTGATTGACTTCTGCAGAGTCAATCACTACAAACCTCCAAACTTCATGTGGCTTTCAGATTAGCTATAGAACAGAGAGCTTCATATAATGGGTTTCCATGGTGGAGCAGCTGCATCCAAGATATACATCACCAAGTTCAATGCAAAGCGTTGGCTGCAGTGGTATAACACACACTGCCACTGGACTCTAGAGCAGTGGAGGCGCGTTCTCTGGAGTGACAAATCGTGCTTCTCCATCAGGCAATCTGATGGACGAGTCTGGGTTTGATGATACGTGTCTGACTGTATTGTGCCAAGTGTAAAGTTTGGTGGTGGGGGGGTATGGTGTGGGGTTGTTTTTCAGGAGCTGGGCTTGGCCCCTTAGTTACAGTGAAAGAAACTCTGAATGCTTTGGCATACCAGAGTTTGCTGGTATTCGAAAGTATACCAGCATACTTTTGTATGCTGGTATACTTTAGTAGTCTGTTATACCAGCATACTTTTTGGACAAATCCATGCTCCCAACTTTGTGGGAACAGTTTGGAGCTGGCCCCTTCCTTTTCCAACATGTCTGTTCACCAGAGCACAAAGCAAGGTCCATAAAGACATGGATTACAGTCTGGTGTGGATGAACCTGACTGGCTTGCAGAGTCCTGACCTCAACCTGATACAACACCTTTGGGATGAATTAGAGCTAAGAATGAGAGCCAGGCCTTCTCGTCCAACATCAGTATGTGACCTCACAAATGTTCTTCTGGAAGAATGGTCAAAAATCCTCATAAACACTTCTAAACCTTG